GTTCTCCTTATCTGTCATCATTTCTGTCATTTGTTTTATTGATCTTGGGTGCTCTGACTGGGGTAAAGTGAAATCTCAAAGTAGTTTTTAATTTACATTCCCCTGATGGCTAAGGACGTCGAACATTTCTTTAAGTGTTTCTCAGCATTTGTATTTCATCTTTTGAGAATTCTGTTTAGTTCTGTACTCCATGTTTTAGTTGGGTTGTTTTCTTTGTATTCTCAATACTAACTTTATAGCAGACGTAGAATTAATTGGTAAAGATCTTTTCCCATCTGCAGGCTGCCGCTTTTTCTGATGGTGTCCTTTTAGCTTCTTGAGGTTCCATTTATCAGTTGTTGGGTTTTGATGCCTGTGCTGTCAGTGTCCTGTTCAGAAAGTGTTTTCCTGTGCCAATGAGTTCAAGGCTATCACCCCCCTACTTTCTCTTTTACCAGTTTCAGGGGTTCAGTTTCTGTTTCTGTTGAAATTCTTGATATCTCTGGAGTTGAGTTCCGTGCAGGGTGACAGATGTGGATCTGTTTGTGTTCTTTGTGCAGCTATGTATTTTGGCTAAGGCCATTTTTAGAAGATTCTGCCTTGTCTCCAGTGTATTTGGCTTCTTTGCCAAAAATCATGTGTCTTTAGGTCAGTGGAATCATGTCTGGGTCTTCGATTTGAGCCCATTGATCAATTCCCAGACATGTAAATCCGGAATGGTGATACCACTCAAAGTTCTTCCATCATCCAGGGAGTATTGATGATTTCAACCTCTGTGTTTTAGAGCCAAGTGTGGGATTACCTCATGCCTGTAATCCCAATATTTGGGAGGCTAAGGCAGGAGGATTGCCCAAAGTGAGAGGATAACCTGGGCTATACAGTGAGACATTGTCACAAAAACCCAAATGAACAAAACTTTCTTACTTTATGTTTTTATATTTCCTGTTGTTGCAACAGAATCTAGGATGGGCAATTCATAAAGAAAGCAGACTTATTTCTCACTGTTCTGGAGAAATTCAGCATCAAGGCTGTGGTATCCTCTGAGGGTCTTCTTGGTGTATCACTACAGGACAGGACTGGTAGAGATGTAAGCAGAGCCCTAAGAACTCCTCACCTCTAGAACACCCCAGTCCTCACTACTGTCACAAAAAGAAGCAAATAGCAATGCGGATTTTGGAGGGAACCCTCAGGCCAGAACACAGGTTGTTATTTCTGTGGCCACAAAATCCTGCTAGGATGCAGATCCCTGATTTTGAGTTCTGGTTCAGTTAACAACTACAGAGAGGCTACACTGCTCACCTCAACCAGGTCTCAGTTTTGAATATGCTAAGAAAAATATGAGGGGCTGGTGAAATGGATCAGTGGATAAAAGTGCTTGCGGCCAAGCCTGATGGGATGAGTTTGATCCTCAGGGCCCATATGGTGGAAGGAGAGAACTAACTCTCACAAGTGAGAGAACTAACTCTCACATGGACTGACACCTCCAGACAGTTTATCTGTCTTCATAAATAATCTCAAGTATTTTGTTTTAGTGACAGAAAACTGAGACTTTCATTGTTTTCAGACTTCCATGAATTCTGTTCATGTTCTCTCTCTTTCTCATATAATGAAGCAAGCATGTTAAAGAAAAAAATGGCTTTCTACATATATAAGTTCCTTTCTTTTGGGGGTAAATTTTATTTTAAAAAGTATATTAAATTGAAATCAGTCACAAGTATAAGACATCTGAATTGATAATAATCTTCACAAATGATTAATTACCTTGTATTAAAGGATTGTTGATTCATTAATGGGCTTGGAGTAGATATTTTATAGTCACGTGGTTAAAAAACCCTACACATCATTTTTATTGTACCTTTAAAGAAAACAATAGAATTTTAAAACGGACAGAATGAGCCTAGAAATGTTTTCCTAAATGACTCAAGTGCAGGAGACACAGCTCAGTGCAGAGTGCTTGCCTGGCAAACACAGGACCCTGTTTTTCAATTCCTGGTATCACAGGGAAGCAATGCAAAGGTTTTTAAGACTTTAATTGTGTGTGTGTGTGTGTGTGTGTGTGTTTGTGTTGGTTCTCTCTTGCTGTGGGTTCTGGGGATTGAACTCAGGTCACCAGGTTTGGGAAGCAGGTGCTTTAACCTGCAAGGCCATCTCATGAGAGGCCTGGAGATACTTCTTTGAATCATATCATGTTGCTTCAGTTCCATCTTTGAATGTCCTCAAAGGTCCACATGTTGAAGGCTTGATCCCCACTGGGACCTGGTGAGAAGTCTTCAGGGGTCCTCAGATCACAGAGAGCACACCTCAATTTTCTCTGCTGCCCTCTGGTCACAAGGCAGGCAGCTCTGCTGTGCCCAAAGCAGATGCCATGAAGCACTTGCTCACCATAAGCAAGCCAGCTGACCATGGACTGACACCTCCAAACAGTTTGTCTTCATAAATAAGCTCAAGTATTTTGTTTTAGTGACAGAAAACTGAGACTTTCATTAAACAGATAATCACAATTCGATATGATTCAGAACTATCAAAAATCTGTGGTAAAATCCATTGTTTTTCTTAGAAGGTTTAGAATTAGAGTGTGGCATCAAGGAGGAATAAGAAAGTATTTGTTTAAGTGAAAACGAGTCCTTGTTAACTATGGAGGGAGGGGGTGCAGACAAGGACACTGGGTTACAGGGGTCCAGGGCTCAACTGACTGCCCCTGCCATAGTCTATCCCTTTGTTCTATGCAAGTGTCTGCTTTTCAGAATGGCTCACAAAGTGTGGTCTTCAAGCTCTTGGGTTTTCTGAGATGGCTCTCACTGTTATTCTTAAGACAAATACAGTTATATAATAATACTAATCTGTTTACTCTGTTTTACTGTGTTGACATTGGCCTTGGTGCAAACACAAAGATTATTAAGACTGCTGGTGCCTCTTCAGAGGTCAGAGCAGACTGACTGTCATTGCTTTCTTCACCACATTGTGAAGAATAAGGTCATGTATAAAAATGTATTTGATATGGCAGTTAAGAATCATTTTCTCACAGAACAGACATCTTTTTAACTTCTCTGAGACAGAAGTCTGCTCCATTCTGAATAAAGTGTGGTGACTGTCCCAAAAGAAGGACAGCCATGTTAGAGTTGCCAGCTAAACTAACCACTTCATTCAAATAAGATTTTTACCTGAAAGAACAATTGGCAAACTATATCTTACCATGGATATTTGGCTGGTTGTTTCTCAAAATTAAATGAGACATGTTTGGCACTTCAAAGTTAACAATTTAGGAAAAGATGGTTGGTGATGACAAAGGGTTGAATTTTCAAAGTTTAAGAATTTGTATATGTCACTGTGAGCCTGATAATCTTCCTGGAGCTTTTCTGTAGTTGGGCAGTGATACTAAGTCCAGTAACCCTTTGGCAGTGTCTACTAAATTGTGGTATCATTTGAAGTGACATTTTCCAAATGCAGGTTACAAAATGACACATGGGCAAGGATCCAAGATAGACTGATTTGAAAGAACACAGTAACAGGAAGCCTACTGTGTGCCTTTGCCCAGTCACAGCTAACCTCTCCTCTTGTTACCATATACGTGAATGCTGCATGTTAGGTCTGACTTTCCTTTTATACTCAAGACACAAGAGCCCAGACATTAAAGAGATTTGCAAACATAGGAAGCAATGCTATAATATACTCAAAAAATTATAAAGTGCTATTATGCTAATATGCAATGTATGATTTTGAAATGAGAATTATAAACGTTTAAAAATTTTTTATTTGAGCTGGGTGGCCTTTAATCCCAGCACTTGAGGGAGGGGCAGAGGCAGGTGGATCTCTGTGAGTTTGATGTCAGCCTAGTCTACAAGAGCTGGTTCCAGGACAGCCAGGGCTGTACAGAGAAACCCTATCTCAAAAAACAAAATGAACAAAATCTATATTTGTCGGCATGTGTGTACATCATATGCTTACATTGCCCCAGAAACACTGCCCCAGAAGGGAGTGTTAGACCTCCCTGGAAATAGAGTTATAGGTGTGAGCTTCTAGGTGGGTCCTCTGCAAGAGCAACAAACAAGTACCAAAACTGCTGAGCTGTCCCCACCTCTGTAGCCCTGACTTAAATTTTTTATTAATTTGTTGTTTACATTCCAATCCCAGTTCCCCCTCCCTTTTCTCCTCCCATCTGCCCCTCGGGAGGAGGAGGAGAAAGTCTCCTCTAGGAAGTCTACTAAGTTTGTCCCATCATCTCTTTTGAGGCAGGACCAAGGCACCTCTCCACCCCCACACCCCTGTGTCTAGGTTGGGCAAGGTATCTCTCCATATAGAATGGGCTCCACTAAAGTCAGGTTGTGCATTAGAGTTAGATCTTGGACCCACTGCCAGTGGCCTCATATATTGTCCCAGTCACACCATTGCCATTTATATTAAGGGAGTCTAGTTCAGTCTCCTGACTTAATTTTTTAAAATTAATTTGTAAGATGGTAATTAGGGATGGATAGAATTGTGGTTTGCTTGATCGCCATGAGCTCCCTGGAGAGTGTGAGACACTGATTTTTACCCTCTGCTGACTCTATCTTTTTTTTCCCAGCACTGTCATAGGCAGTTGGGAAACTTGTGAGGCCTGGGTGTGGCCTGCTTCTTAGCATATACTTTCAGATTCTAGAATGTAGAAATATCCTGGGAGCCAGAACACACATTCTGTGACCAAGAGCCAATTTTGTTGTCTTACCACCATCAGAATTCCAGTGAGGACTGGAGCTGTGGCCTCAAATGACCAAGGTGCTTCTACCTCAGATTCTAATGTTAAACACCAGCTTCCTAAAGTTTTCCTCCAAAATTCTGATGTATACAAGGCTGATTGTTCTAGTCTCATCCTTTTCTAGATAAATTTTCACAAGAAATAGATTTTTTTCTTCTAATTCCTTGAGGAAGGGCTATAGACTGAACTTCCAGGTTGTGTAGATAAGGGTACAGAATTCTCATCTGCCGTCTCTGGGTTGGGTCGGGGAAGGAGAAATATTCCAAGGAGCCAACATGACAAGGAGGCATTGGCATAAACCAAACACTTTATTATTTGAGGAGGAAAAGGCCAAATCACAAAACCTTTATACTCAAGACCACGCCAAAGACTTCCATAACTGTTAGGTTCAACCATGTAAAGCTTTCTCTCTTGGCTGACAAAACTCAGGTTAAACTTGGCAATTTCATGTGGCTCAACTGCATATAAACTGAAGTGTTGGCTAAGCTTTGGACAGGCACATGTCCCTGGTCCCATGTCTGTTTACATTATAGACAGATGTCCCAGTGTCTATACACACAGGTCCCATTTGAAAGGCAGCCTCCGCTCAGCTGCAAAGCATTCAATCTGCAGGCTAAGACTCCCAGGACTGGCACAGCAGGTCCCAGCTGGTCTTGTGTCCATTTCGAGGTCTCGTGATTTGATGACTCTTTATCGATGTCACCTGCTGGCCCTGAGGCCACCCTGCTGGCGAATGGCAAACCCTGTGGCCCACTTTTGAAACCAAATGACTGGGTGAAAGCTTGGGGTCTCATGGTGGGGTGAGCTCTTCACCAGATAAGAACATCACACAAGCGGCTCCACGCCGTTTCCCATCTTGCTTGCCCTGTCTGTACTCCTGGGTATCCGAGGCCAAGAAAATAAGAGGAGTCAACTCTCTGAGGACATGGAGCAGAAAGAAGCACATGCGGCCCAGATGTAAGAAACAGCAGGTCAGGGAGATGGGACGCGCCATGCTTCATTTAAGGTCAAGGCTGATGGACGATCCCTCCTGACCACCCTCAGCCCTGCCCAACACATTTCCCTTTACATGAGCTAAGATAAAAATAAAGCTTTCGTACAAATTACAATTTTTTTCCAGTGAGTTACTTTTGCAGTAAAAATAGCTGCTACATAAATCCCTTCTGATCTCTGAAAAGGAGGCATAGATTTCCAAAAATAGTCTTCTTATTGTAGTCACACAGAATACCTTGGGGCGAAGGAAGGAAGGAAACGACTGGCTAGGGGGAGGGGGAGTTGCTGGAAAACACAGTTACGCCAAAAAATAAAATACATTTGTGTAGAAACCGACTTAAGGCATGCAGAGAAGTGGAAAACATGTGCCATTTGTCAAGAAAAATACTGCTTTATAGCTTTTACTTTACAGTCCAGGAGGAAGTGGAGAGGCCCGAGGCACCCTCAAATAATAACATTAAATTTCTTATATAAAAAAAAAAAACAAACCTCAATATACAAAGTCCTGGCCAGATAATGAGCAAGTCAGAACTAAAATAACAACAACAACAAAAACAAAAGTAAAAACCAGGGGTCATCCCTCAGACCCCATTCCTGTTGGAAAATCAAATGAAAACAGTATATTACGATTTCTCTCAGTTAGCTCCTGAGAGATTAAATCTGTGTAAAATGACATTCCTAGGTGCTAGTGAAAAAAAAAAAGAAAAGAAAATCTACCAGGTATCTGCATTCTTGATTCAAACACAGTTATAATTACTTTTAAATACAATATACAATTTCTGTTAAATAGAACGGTTGGCGGATTTTGACGTTATAAGATACAATAATATGTACAAAATGACTTCCGAAATGGAGCAGTCGCTGCTCTCCACCTGCCTAGCTGGCTCTCAAGAGGTGGCTTTTGCATTTGCTACTCCTGGTGGCAAAAGGCCAAAGGAAAAACAATGTTTTTCAGGGTTTGTGCATCCACCACACGCTAGCTCCCTGGCGCATCTCAAATAGCCTCAATGACTGTGATCAGCACACAGCCTGCTCGGTGCTGGGGTGGCTTCCCAGAGCCCCTTCCCTTCCAGGTCTTGTGTCAGGACAGAGAGGCCATGCCACCTTCCACCACTGGGGAACTGGCCTTGTGGAAGAGGCATGGAATGAAAGGAGGCCATTGCTGCTTGGCAGCTCCCAGAGGGGTTCCATCCTGCCCTCCCAAGGGTCTTTGGAGCAGTGGGTCAGGACAGGCTTCCCACTCAGTCCCCGGGCCCGGGGCCAGCTCAAGGTCGTCCCAAGGACCTCAGTCTTCTGTGTCAGGCTGGACGCCCAGGATGGCATGCAGTTCCTCAGGAGTGAACCCTAGCAAGTTCTGCAGGTCACACACAAATCGGTACACGTAGCGCTTGCCTGACGTCTTGTGGATGATGTTTTTGTCATAGTAGTATCGTAGACCCCGGCTCAGCTTCTCGTAGTTCATCTTTGGTTTATTTTTCCTCTTTCCCCACCGGCGGGCCACCTTTGGGAAGACATAGAAAGGTCAGAGTCACCTGTGTCAATCTTGATTGCCTCCCCTGACCCTGGATGCTCACCCTATAGGACCCAAGTCATGGGGACATGTCTGGGTCACTTTAAATGTGTGGAGATGCTTCTCTGTACAAGGGCCAGGGATGTCCCCATCTCCCCCTGTCCTCCAGCTCCTGGGGCCAACCATTTGGAACCAGGGGTGTCCCAGACAGGGTCATCTGTTGTCAGCCATCCTCTATAATGCTTATTTCAACACTGCCCTACACCCCCCCCCCCAACCCCTTTTAAAAAGCTAGCGTCTCATAACCCTAGGTTGGTCATTACCCTCCGCCAACCTCTGCTTCCCTGCTGATTACAGACAGGAGGGTGCCATGACACCTGACTGGTGGTGCTGGGGCTAGAAGCTACGGCTGTGAGCGAGCTAGGCAGCCACTCTGCCAACTGAGATACGTTCCAAGCCATGTGACAGCTGGAAAGACTGCCCTGGCTCATGCATGAGACATGCTTATTCCCCCAGACACAGAGAGGGTGACAGATTACGTTATGTATATTGCTGGCATCATGCCTTACCAAAGCCATCTCCAGCAGAGGGACCCAGGGCCAACCCTGAAGGCTCCTTGGCTGCTATGTGCCTTGTCCAACTTGGGACAAAGGTGAATTCCCGCTAGAACTTGCCGAGGGTAACTAGAGAACCTGTGACGGACAATGTCCATGGAGGGAGGGCACTGCCCAAAGGACACTGGGCCCATTCATGAACAAGCCCTCGAGTGGCGTCCTTCGGCTCAGCTAGCCCCAGAGCCGGAGCTCCTGGTTGGGGAAGGGCTCTTGCTGGTTCTGTTGACTTTCCCTGTGTCCGGGGCCAGCTTTAGAACCCAAACTGGGGTTGAGGGTGCAAATGGTCCGTACCTCGTCAGGGTCAGCAAGCTTGAACTCCCATCCATCCCCTGTCCAGCTGATAAAAGATTGACAGGATTTGTCAGAGAGCAGCTCCAGAAGGAACTGCCACAGTTGGATGGGTCCGCTTCCTGGGGATAAAGGGAGGCAGGTTAGAGAGGGTTCTTCAAGGTCAGCTGGAACCTGACCCTCCCAGGGATCAGGCTGTCTTGAAAACATGGACCCCACCAGGGACTGTATGGACGAACAGGTGGCGCCTCAGGGAAGCACTTTAACGGACAGAAGCCACAGTAACCTCCTCTCTACCCAGTACTCCTCCAAGAGGATGGCTGAGCCAAGGCTCTTCCTTGGCTGCTGTCTTTGTCTTCTGGGAGGAGGATACAGGGTCACCAGCCCTCATCAGTACCAATCCTGCCTTTTTAATGCTTTCCAGCACCTTAAAAATTTTATTTCTAGAAAGACCCAGTGGGGCTGGGGTGGGTACTTAAGGGTCATTTCATCACAGGCATTCATCGCTGTTTGATGTGAGACCTGGCTGCATGCCACACTCACGAGGTGACCTGTATCTACAGCCGTCTGTCTTTTTGCTCCACAGGCAGTCAGGACTACCATTGTGAGGAGGAGGAGGCTTGCTGCAGCCTCACCTTTCTTAAGGATGTACTCGGGAGAGTGACTTGTCTTGGGTCCCTATCACAGATTAGAGAAGGAAAGCTGAGGTCTGTCCCTAAGCCCAGCTGTCACCTTGTCTGCAAATGTGAAAAGGCCTTGGGGAGGGACAGAAAGACCTCAGATGGGGCCAGGCCGAGCTGACTCACTTCAATGGCCACTAGGGCTTGTCACCTCTGAACTGATATTCCTTAGTGCGTCTCCACACTACCCGAGGTAACACCACAGGCCACAGGCTGGGCTACCCAACAAACAGTACTACTATAACCATCCAGGTAGACACTCCTAATGCTGTCAGGTTTCTTTGGATTCCTAGGTATCAAAATGGCCTTAGGTTCATAGATTATATATATATATATAATCTTTTTCATTGTCAAAAATATGTAAATATATATATTTGTTTTTGACAATGAAAAAGAAAATCCACATCTTCATTTTAATCTTTTTTTTTTAAGCTTTTTTTCTTTTAAAATCCATAGTGGCTTCTTATGGCCAGCATGAGAAGAAGGTTTATTTAAAGGCATCTATAGTGGTGAAAATGAACATTCTTGGTATTTTTGCCCCAGTTTTGAAATTGTCTGGTTCTAAAAACAGCTTTAAGATTCATTCTCTGCCCAGAAGAGTTCTCTCCTCCTCTTAGATGGTTTTGGAGGAGGTCAAGAGAGGTAAATAGTGCTGGTATCCCATGAGCCAGCTCCCACCCTTCCCAGGCCAGTTTACATTCCTGGAGATCCAGAGTATGAGTCAGAACCAGGACCAGTCTGTTCATCCGTCCCTCTCTCACCCTTCCTCCTCCTGTCCCAGGTAGAGGATGTGGCCTGTGGTCTCCTCCTACCCCCTGAGACCCTAACATGAAAACTTCTGCAAGCCTGGTCTTGTGGGACTTGGGTACAGTTAACCCCAGAGCGTGAGTGTCACAGCCAAACTTAGAAGAGTGTCACAGCAGCATGGTGGCCATTGCAGTCACATAGAAGCCCGCTGGGGCCCTGAGTGCACACTCACCGGTGAAGCCAGCCAGTACTGCCGCAGGAATAACTGGTTTGCCTTGTTCAACTGGGTCACTCCTCTCTTGGATGTAGTCCTTGAAGGACATGGTTGGTTTATTGAGGCACAGTGGCTGGCTACAGTCCTCCTCGAAGCTCTCAAAGGAAGGTACCCGCTGCACATCTAGTAGGGACGACTGGCTGTTCCAGGACCTCAGGAGCGAGTCGGAGCTCTCGAAGCTGTCTGTACCATTCTCTGGAGAGTCATGGTCCTTGGGTTTCCCTGGTAAAAAGCAACCAAACACATGCTGAGACCCCTCCAAGATGTGAGAAGGGCCAGTGCCCCTGGATCATGGATTCAAGTGCATCTTGGTCCCAATTCCTGCATCACTGCCAGCTACCCCCAGTGCAGATATAGGGACCTCAGGTACAGCATCCTTCAGATCCCTGAGTGCTTTTAAACTCAGTGCTAATCTCTCAGGACAAGGTTACGTACACATCACACCTTCCTCCAACAGAAGCATGGACAAAATGTAGAACACTATATAGCCACGAGAAGGAACAAACGCTACAACAGGATGGCTGGAAGCAGACAAACTCCAAAGAAGACAGTTAGCAGGAGCCCATCTGTGTGAAGCCCCAGAACAGCAGAACCCAATCTGTATGATGGAAAGTCAAATGGTTTGCTCTAGTGAAGAGGGCTGGGAAGGGACAGGAAGGAACCTTACGGAGAGCTAGAAATTTCTACCTCCACATGAATGGCTGTAACACAGGTGTACATAGCCGTGTCAGATGTGTGGACCTTAAACTGGAATCTGGCACACTCCCATGTGTCCAACAGAGTATACTCCACTGTGAGGAAGTTAGCTTAAAGTTGTTATGCTATTCGGTATTGCTCTCTAGATACCTACAGAACCCAGACCAGGATTTCATACCGGTTGTGCTTTTTTGGAAAGTCACACGGAAGGTGACCCTTTCCTTTAATCTCCTTCTCCAATGGCAGAAGACAGTGTCCTTACCAACCATCTCTCATCCTGAATGGCTTCTAGGATAAACCAACAACATTATTCTAGAGTGTCCTCTTACCAGAGCCATTGGTGAGCAAATTCAAGTTGCTGCCAGGGAAGTCCTGCGTGATGGAACAGTAATTGACACTGACAGTATTGAGCCGAGACTTGGGCAACATCTGGAACTCCTGCTCAGAGCCAAGACCTGCAGGCGTTGCAGACGGCGGGCACATGCTGTCCAGGAGGCTGTCTTTGGGGTAGCTTGGTGCCTGTATTCCATACGGAGCCTGTTCCATGCCAAAACCTGAACACAAGGATGGGTCAGATGGCAGAGCTGTTAAAGTCAACATCACAACAGCTAGACCCATACCTGACCTTGCGGGTCACCCCTAGGAGACCCTGTTTTGAGACAGGTGTCCCGGGTGCCAAATTCAGAGCACAGTGACTGTCTTCCACACACTTGTGGCCACATCTTGTGTTACACTACATTAATGTCTCCTGACTTCTTTTTCCTCTTTATGGTTAAAACAGCCTAGAACAGCGTTGACTCCTAGAGATTACATGAGCCACTTAAGCAAGACTAAGTTTCCCGGTGGCCACACTAAAAACACAAGGAGCAGGTGAAGCTAATTTTCCATTAAACTGGTCAGCCTATCAGTGGTCACCTCAATATATAAACAGTATCCTAACTCATCAAGAATAGTTTATATTATTGGCTTCATTTTACAGCCTCTGAGTTAGTGGAGATGAGTCAGACTCTTAGATTCCCATTATGCATTTCGGGAATCTGCCATGTTTCAGCTGTTTGGTAGATCAATACCCATGTGTAGCCACCCCAGGAAGAGGTCTAGGGCTACCTGAGGGGCTCGAGAGACTAAAACCAGAGATTTTAAGAAATAGTCACCTGACTGACCTAATGTATTGTTGCTGACCCAATGAGGGACCGCGTTGAGGTGTGAGTTTTCTTCATATTGGTCTTCTGTCTTTTCTTGGTTCTCTGAAAAACAGACACGAAGACATCAAGCCCACTTTAAAAACTCCACAAGAAAAGCAGTACTTCCACGATCCTGCATTGCGCATACAGGAGTGACTCACCTAGCCCTTCATATTCTGACTGATTTCAACCCCCTTATGTGTCTTTTTTAAAATTTTTAATTAGTATACTTTTTTTTTCTAATAATCTGGGATAAGTTTTCCAAAATCAATGACATCACCGTCTAGAAAAGCATTTAATTTCATGCATATGTTTATGAAAAGCCATTGGTTCTGGGGCTGGGAAAACAGGGGTTGAAGGAAAGGGACTTGGATCCTGCCCCCCCCCCCCCCCCCCCCCCCGTGAGGCCTAACATCCTCTGCAGGTTAGTCTGGGATGTCGTGAGGTCCACAGGGAAAGTGTGTGTTCTTGTAAGCTCCCTTACTGGGAACACACAATCACACAAACTCCATCCCCTGAAGCCAAGCAACACAAATACACATGCTGCCCCTGGGATGCACTGGGAAATGCCAGTCCATGCTCCCAAAGAATCAGGAGTCCTTAAAGTCAGTTTTCCTGGGCTCTAGGAAGCTATAACTAAACCATCCTGGCAATGGAACCCCAGATGAGATTCTGAGTTTATCTGTTGAAAGCAGACGTGTTTAACCATGGCACTAACCATTTTCTTACTTTGGTTGTTTTTAACTTAAGTTAGTCTTATTGGAACTGTCCCTCATTTAGACCCAGGTATCTTTTAAAGCAAGTCTCACTGATCTTGGAGTTCTGAGACAAGAATGGTTTCTGAGCTCAGTGTTTCCCCTTAACATTTCAGTATGTGTACCAGTCGATCAGTTACAGCCCGAACTCCAAAATCCCCAGCAACTGGAGTAATTTTCCTATGAAATCCACAATGATCTGTTTATGCTGCCTTACATTCAAATGTCCCTGTCTCTCTTGTCTCTTCCAGTGAGCTTACTCACATGGCACCCTGGCTGGCCTACATATCCAAGGTGCTCTGAGCTGGCACAACCAGTGCAGCCTGGCAACAACCAGCAATTTGGTGACTCAGGCTCTTGCCTTGTGGCTACATCTGGCGTGAACATCGCACACACTTCCCTCCATGGAATGAAGACCCGTCATCACCTCCCTGTTTGACTCGCTTGGGGGTGTTCTGAAGCAGGGACTCTTACTACGGGGCAGCCTGAGGTGGAAGCATACACCTCCTGCTGTTTGGGTCCCCACCTCCCCAAGTCCTGCAGCTGTACCTTTGATCATCTGCTCCAGATGTTCCCAGAGGATGTCACCCACAAAGTCAGGTGCCAGCTCCAGAAAGCGCTCTTTGCCGAGGTTACAGAGCATCTGGCCATTCATGCCAAACCGCTGCAGATTCACGTTCACCAGGCTGAACTCATTGGTGGCCCACAGCAGCCACTGGCACACCTGCTGCTCACTCCAAAGCCAGGGGTCTGTGCAGGAAAGACGAGAAAGAAAAACACTTGTGAGTATCTGGAAGGCAGGGAGTGGCCTTCTACAATTCACCAAGCCTGGACAGCTCCAAACCCCTCCGAAATGAATGAGACACTGCCATGCTGTGACCCAGGCATGTTCTGAGACACGAATGGCACTTGGTGTTTAGTGAGTGCAGGGTTAGGTGTGCCACAGGTCACAGGTACAGGGCAGCTACATTCCTCCTGCATTCTTGTGACCTCTTGCAAAACAACCAGGAGCATCTTAAAGACAGAGCTGGCCAAACCAGTCTCACACATGTCTTTCAGGGACTCCCCAGCCTCAAAGCCCCGCACTTACTTTTGGGAATGCCAAGACGCCGTTGCTCCTTGTGGAAGCCACTGAAGGTGGCTTTTAAGGCTTGGCTCATCACTGCCTTGCTGCAGGGCGTGAGCAAGGGCAGTTCACAGCTGGCTGAATCTGGAAAGAGACCACAGGGATGTCAGGACCAGGGTGGCGACGTCAAAAGAAGCTTAGGATTCTTTAACAGCATACAGCTGTAGGGCCAGGGTGCAACTAAATGCTTGCACACTCACATAGCACACAGGAGATCCTGGGTTCCATACCCAGTATTACCAAAAAGCTCCAAAAGCAAACAAGAAAATATTTTCCTTTAAAAAGTATTCTCTATTATAATAATCACAGAGATGTAATTTGACATGCCATATTTTTTTTCTTTTTAAAAAGTAAACAATGACATTAAGAGACAAAACCAATTATGCTTCTTAGGAAAAATCCAGAATAAAAATGAGTTTGGTGGTACACAGCTGTAATCCCAGTATTTGGCAGACAGAAATAGGAGGGTACTGAGGGTAACCTGAGTTCCAATTCAGTCTGGCAAAGTCCCCGGTGTGTGTGTGTGTGTGTGTGTGTGTGTGTGTGTGTGTGTGTGTGCTAAATTTTTAAGATAAAAGTCAAATTCTGTATTTTGTATAGCCTCATAAAGCAGGTACATACAGATGCCACTTCTACCTACATCATATTTAAGCATTTTAAACTGTATGGTTTTGGTTCAGAAGGCCTCAGATGTGTCCAGCCTTGTAGTCTGTGTCCTGTACGCAGCCAAGGATGGCTAGGAATGCGGCACAAAACTGTCAGAAGTACAGAGTATCCACAACATGAGACTGTGCTTTTCTGGTAACCTGACTGTGTGGTTCTTGAGTGTGGCCTTCAAAGGCCACAGTGTCACACTGCAGTGCCAAAAGGTTGGACAGTCCCTGGCTGCCTTCGGTGACTGTGAAAGTGTGATGTGGGACGGGGGCGTGCCAGGCTCAGACAACACTGCGCTGTGAAACAGGCACACCCCTAACTTTGTTGAGAAATAGTCTTCTCTGGTGCTGTCGGAAATCTCAGGGATGATAAACGACTACAAGACGAGGCCAAGCTTACGAAAGCCCGGGTGCTTTGATAAGTCTTTCTAGGCTGTGTTGTCCAACACCCACCTCATACGACAAACCAATCTGGAGTGTGTCCAGTCAATGACTATGAAGTAATTGTAGAGACGCATCTGACATGCTAGTCCTTTGAATAGAATGAAGACTGACAGTGAGAACCACTACCAAAATACAAATGGGCTAGGGTGAGCAAGAGTAATCTGTGATCCCAAAACTCAAAGGGAAAAGTGTGTGTGTGTGTGTGTGTGTGTGTGTGTGTGTGTGTGTCTGTGTGTGTGTGTGTGTGTGTGTGTGTGTGTGTGTGTGTGTGTGTGTGTCTGTGTGTGTGTGTGTGTGTGTGTGTGTGTGTGTGTGTGTGTGTGTGTGTCTGTGTGTGTGTGTGTGTGTGTGTGTGTGTGTGTGTGTGTGTGTGTGTGTCTGTGTGTGTGTGTGTATGTGTGTGTGTATGTATGTGTGTCTGTGTGTGTCTGTATGTGTATGTGTGTGTGTCTGTGTGTGTCTGTGTGTGTATATATGTGTGTATGTGTGTCTGTGTGTGTCTGTATGTGTATGTATGTGTGTCTGTGTATATGTGTATGTCTCTCTGTGTGTGTGTATGTGTGTGTGTATACACGTACATGCACTTGCCACTGGGGTGTTTTAACCAGAAATGTGAACTGAGCATGAGAAGCTTGGACACATTTCCATGTCCACTACCTTCTATTTGAAGAAGACACCCGGGAGATGAGGAAGTGCTTGAAAACACCAGAGCTCCTGGGTTCACAGGTGGCCACAGCATGTGAAGACACCACAATGACCAGTTCACTCAAACAAGAGGAAAACCGGCTTCTCCCATACCCTGGGAGAAGATTTCCATCAAGACCGTCCATACCAAATACTCAAGACATCCGGACTCTTGGCAGGAGAAAGATCTGTCTTTACAAACCGATCATGCTTTATTAACCCAGCTACTGAGGGAAGCTCTGCACCATCTCTGCTAGGTTGGAGGAACAAATTACCATGGGAGACGGAGTCCAAGCCTGTGGGCACTTCTTGGAGTGTCTGCTCTTCACTGAGAGAGGGGAACACAGCAAACAGAGAACCATCAAAGGTGTCAAAGGCTGGCTGGCGCTGGAGAACACAGGGAGGAGAAAGAGGCACAGCATGAAGTCACGGGGTGACGTGTTTTCTTATTGGTCCACAAACCTCACCACCAGCCCTGATGACATCAGCCATTTTGAAGCAACATGAGCCAATGACCTCTCAGTACTGGCAGCACACTTCTAGGACCTCACTCTAGAGTCTTTAGTTAATACCACAGGGTCAGATGGCCTGGGAGATTACTTCAGAGCATAATCAACTTAAATTAGTAAACTAAATACATCTAAAAGCAGCCGAATCTTAGGAACACACTGAGAGGAGTTTCAGAGAAGACCCGCACCCATCTCATCAGACTGGGTGTATAGGAAAAGAAAAACTGGACAGGGTGTTTTGGTGTAAAACACTTAAAACAAAAAGGGAAGCCTAGAAAGAAATGGGGAATTGAAGGGATAATAAGGTGTTGTTATCTTTGGACAGTTAGTTACTTTGAAGTATCTACTACTTTAAGTGAATCAAGAGAAGCCCGTCCCCATCACTCCAGCAGTTCAGATAATAACAATCTGTGGGAAAAAAAACACCTTAATATTTTCTATGATAAAAAAAAGATTGTAGAAAAGAAACTTCAAACCAACTACAGGCAGACTTTCAAAGGCACCTTTCAGGAAAAATCGGGTATATAGCTAAAGTGTAAAGACAGCCTCAGGAAGCATCAAAGGCCGGCCGTGTGATCCCACATATGCAAAGTTTAAAAAAAAAACAGCAGCTCTGCATGGGAGGGGCACGGATAAGCTCCGACGATGAGGCTGACCCGCCCCTGCCCGGCTCCTTTAAGAATGTGAAGAAAAGTTCTGTTTCCCAACATCATCTGGAAACCCCACATGGTGTGTAACACAATGACCCATGTGTTGCATCATGGGCAAATAAATGTGTAACACATTTACAAATAAAATCAGCTCAGCGCTGTGCCTTCATTTCAGAAATGCAGAAGAGCGAATGACATGTTGAACAAGAGGGCAGGCTGCCAATCCCAGCCCTCAATCCTCAACCCCCACCCCAGGACTGCCAACGGCCCAGGAGGGCAGGCCCACTGAGGTGTATGAAGCACCTGACTGGATGAACCAGGGACTTTATGTGGAGATGGTTTTGGTGAAATAGTAAATAAATGTCAGGCAAAAAAACCCAAAAAACAAAACAAAACAAAAAAACAAACAAAAAAAAACTTCCCAAAAGCATGCTCAGGCCTCTAAGAAGTGTCTTTCTGGAAGTTCTTTTTTTTAAACCAGGAAGTCACAGAATAATGCAAAGCCTTGCTAAGAATTTCAACATAGACTCTGGTGGCGAATGCCTTCTCTGAATCCAGACATCAGCATTTACAGAGGTTTTCCCCCCTTAGGGCTGTGTGTGGCTTCAGCTCCGTCACACTTCCGCACACCATTTCTGCCGTGCTTAAGACACACAGCTAAATCGAACAAGGATTAGGGTTAGGGTTCCCAGCACCCTGGGATTTGATGCCTTCACTATAACAGAAAAATGGATGCCTAACCCTAACCCTAACCCTAACAATAATGGGTGCCAGATTCTGCCTCTGGAGTTTGCATCAGACACGTAACCATAAAAACGGCTTAGGGAAATGGGAAGATGGCTCAGCAGGAAAAGCATTTGCTGGGGAAGCTTGAGGACATGAGTTGGGATCCCCAGAACCCACGTGAGGCTGGACAGGGGACCCTGTCTGTCATCCCAGTGTCCTGGGAAGAGGGGGTAGACAGGAGAGTCCCCAGAAGCTCAGTTAGCCTTTGTGTGCACAGTAGAAGACAAGAGACCCTGCCTCAAATAAAGGGAAGGCAAGAACCAGCACTGGAGACTGTTTTGTAATCCTAGCACCAGGAGAGCAGAGACAGGAGGCTCCTGGAGCCTGACACACCAGTCTTGCTTAGCCAGTGAGCGGCAGGTTCAGCGAGAGTCTCTGTCTCAAAAAATAAAGTGGAGAGCAATAGAGAAAGACACTTGTTGCTGGCTTCTATACTCACACGCACAAGCTTGCACTCACTCCACACACACACACACACACACACACACACACACACACACACACACAAGCACACACGTGAGCACACAAACACGCACTGGTGCATACACTCACACACAAAATTACCAGCTCATGCTACAAGAATGTCTCACAGACATGATGTGAAAAGTGTTTGCCCAGGGGAGCCAGCTCTTTCACCTTTAATCTGTTTGGGGTTTGTATAAATAGGCCTGCTGCTGCTGCACCAGAGAGAGCAGGTTCCCAATAGCCTCATGGGTGCAGCTCCTCCTGATGGGAAGAGCACAAGAATGCCTAGTCTCTTTGATTTCAGTTTATAAACAGTCCTCTGGGAGTGCTGAGATTGATCAGTGGGTAAGGCAAACCTAGTGACCCGACCCCAGGACCTATATGGTGGAAGAAAAGAGAGCACCGACTCCCACAAACTGTCCCCTGACCTCTACATGAGGGTCATCATGGTATATGCACACAGGCACTCATAAATAAATGCAAAGAAGTTAAAGAGTAAGTAGCGTTTCCATGCACTCAGCCATGGAAACTCCTGAGTGCATAAAAAGGTGGCAGACACATTCTCTCCAACTGTTTAAGACTCAGAGGGCTTGTTTTTCCATATCTTGCGGGGCAGGTACAAATAGCATGGTGATACCCATTTCACAGTACAGAAAACGGAGGCCCAGAAGATTACATAATTTCCCCCAGAGTCACACAGGTAAGATATGTAAAAACCTGGGACCAGAACCAGTTTTCTGGGACACAGTCCAACATGGGTTTTCCCCCTCTTATCGATGGAATTTCTAAAATTGTCAAGAGAAGTTTTAATTAAGAAGCACACATACCTTGAGTGTCCCTCGAAAACTGTTAGCGACAGGGGCCACTTGGTCCATGTTCTTGATTGCGAAATCATTCATCTTGAAGAAAAAAAAAAGCAAACGAGACAGAGTTAGAGGGGTTACAATTGAAGCACGTTTTAAAGGTAATATTGGCGGTGACATCAATATTTAGGTGGGTGCAACACAAAGTCAGCAGTATTCCACACGCCTGGATGTGGGAATTCTTATTTAAGGGCCCCAGACAAAGTCGCTCTCAAGGAGAGTGGGGGCGCACCACGTGGGGTGGGATGGGGGCCCTACAGAGCTCTACTTAGATGTGAGACTCACTTCATGGGCTGTCCCCACACCCTGGGTTAGCAGAGCAAGGAGGCTGCGCCAGGAGTCTCAGCAGCACTTCTATGGGCAGCTGAGGTGAGGCCTTAGGTGGTGCCAAGCAGGGCCACATGCCAGCATCTCCTCCTGTCTGCACAGGGCAGTCAGATTCAACCTGAGCACCTAATGGAAGCCACGCAGGGGTCACACCAGAGCACCCTCTTCCCACCATTCTTCTTGGAGACATGCAGAAACACATGACCCTGAGTGACCCAGCCCCTCATCATCGCAGATCCTCAGGCTCTGCCTATGTGACCTCAGGACTTCTCTACTTCATGTGTGTAGCAGTTTTGCACCCCTTCCCGAAGCCAGGCCTTGCTTTAATAATAGGGGCTCATACCAGAGCTCTGCTGACCACCAGCTGGCTGCAGTGGCTACTGGCAGTGACAAGGCCCCTGTGAAGGGAGGCGGCCATACACATGAGGTCTTAGGAACTAGAAGGGAGGAGGAAAAGCGTCTCGGTACTTTGAATATTTACTTGGTGCTTACATAATGTTGTGAATACATTAGGTCTACTGACTATAGTCGAATCAATTCGGCCTGTTAAGACTGCTTTTGAGCGTGCTGGAAAACAAAAATGTGACTTGCAGTGGGCTGAAAATTTTCCTGGGGCCCTAATGTGTACTTATGGGTCGAACCAAGTGATATGAAGTAAGGAGGCCTTCAACAATACCACCAGAGCTGTAAACAGATGGAGTCACTGAACCTGCCGGCAGCTCCCCACCCTCCAGGCTCCAAGGTACAGAACATGGGGAGCCTTCAGCAGGTCCTTGGTGTCACCCACAGTGGCCCACACCTGCTCTCCTCCGTGCGCACCCGCCTGTTAAACAAACACTCACTAAAATTAGTGTGCAATTGGTAGAACTTGATAGAGCCAGCGGACAGCACCTCCTCAGAGAACTATTTAACTTGCATTGTTCTTCCTCGTGTTCTGTTTAGAGTCAACATTATGGCCAATGCAGATGTCCTAACAGTTTCTTACTCTCCAACATGCGTGCATGCGTGCACACACTCACACCTTGATTAAAAGGCAACAAGGGGGGAAAGGGGTCCTCGGGGAGGCTGTTGGGAGCTCAGATATGAGGATTTGGGTTATAATGGCTCACAAAGGCTGAGGATCATTGAAGGAACACCAGCCAGTTCTGGAAGGAGTCAGGGCAGGGTCTGTCCAGTCTCCACAGTGGGTACATTCGTTCAGACTCTCCCTTGGTATACTATCTCAGCCACATCCACTAAGGATTCGATATTCTTTACAAACAAATGCCACCACGACAGAATGCCGAGCTCCCCGTGTCAATGAAGCCCCAAGTCCCACCCCCTCAATCCTCCTATGTCCAGGTCCCAAAAGTTACCATGGAGGCAGCTGACACCGAGTCACTGTCCTGGGGACACACTTCTACTGGGTTGTCTATGGGGATTACACCTCAGGTGAACAGGGCTCTGGGCTCTCCCTACCACATCCCACAGAAGCAGAGAGCACACAAATGTGATTAAAGCAGGCCTTCTTGTCATAGCCCTGTGAAATGCTCGACTACTGAGAACTTCGTGTGGCCTACTTTAATGGACTCAGCCCTGTAACCTGTTGACTGAACACAAGCCTCAAGCAGGAGACCAATCAGAGAGCCAGAAACGTCGACACAGTCCCTCCAGGGTCTGTCAGACAGGGCTCTCTGTGGACCGATGTGTAGATACTTGCGTACTTAATTCTGAGTTTTAGCTTCTGAGAGGGATGAATGGTTGTGGAAGAACTTCTTCCCTGCCTTTTGTGTACAAACAGGAGGAGAAAAGGGAGGTTCCCACTCCCACATAAAGAGCTGTAATTACCAGCTGCAGAACAGGGTTCCTTTGTTGCCCGGCTTTTAATGAGTTTTGTAAAAAAAAAAAAACCCTGTAGAATTAAAGCACTTGACTAAATGGCTTCAGGCAGACACACGGCTAATCAAATTTAGGTTCATTTATCCTACTGAACGTGCTTGCTAAGTCCTGGGACAAGTCGAGACTCTGGATAAATCAATTTTCAAGTTTAGACTCTTTGGTACTCAGGGGACTCACTGCTACGTGTACTCAAAAAATAAAAAAAAAATAAAAAGAGCAGGAGTAAATGATGGAAACCTAACGACTGAGAAGTGAAGTTTTAAAACAAGAATTTCACTGGCAAACAATCCTTGTTGGAACTGGTAACCATTTATAAGAGAGCACAGGTCTGTATTTAGGTAAATTTTTGGAAGAACAAAACCTTTTGAAGGTCGGTTTGCTTTTCGCTTAGAAAGCGATCAGTTTAGGGAGATGGATGACTAATTCCAGATCTGAGAGTTAGACTATTTCCCTGTGGGGCGCACGGTGTTCACATTTACTGTACTGCGAGATTACTCAGAATTTTAATAAAAGCTTAACACTGAGATGTATCTCCCGATCCGAGGCGGTGTGGGCAGGCAGATAAGGTAGGGAGCGAGTCTCTCTCTCTATCTCTTAACTGGTGAATTAAGTGACTCCTGTCTCCAACCAGGCCTGCTCACCGCTTTACTTCCTAAATAAGTAGCGAGCCAACCACTATTTTAAGGTCCGCTGAAATTTAGTGCAGGTTAGCATAAATCTCACGAGATTAAATAATGAATAAATAAGTACAGGTGAAACACACACACACACGACACCTTCATATACTCTTAAGGAGAAATAAATAAAGGCAGCGCAGCCATGCGCACCCTCCTCTGGGACGCTGTCCTGTGCTGGCTT